ACTTTATAATTGCCTAATTGCCTAAAATGAGAGTGTGTGACCTAAAACTGATTTTTGTGACCTAAAGCGTCCTAAACTTGCTGTTTTGCAGTAATTTCACAAAAATCCACACAATGGGTGAGCCCAAAACAGACTTTTCCAGGAAACATGTAACGTGACATTTACGCGGCGGCGCAGCTCTGCGGGAGCGAAGGCGAAAAAAAAAAAAAGAAAAAGAGAGGCGAGCGTTGGGTGAAGGCGATGAGGGCCGGTGTCGAGGCTTTGGGGAAGCGGGACCGTGTTTGGAAGACGAGAAAAGGGCTGAGGCGAGAACACCAAAGGCCAACGGAGTCCAGGAGAGGCACAGGAGTCGAAGCTGACCTCAACAGGACCGCGGCGACGGGAACGGGCGTTCTGCGTATTGGTACCAATACGGTAAGTCGCCGGGAAGTGCGCGCCGATCGTCCGGGAGAAACCGGGAGCGTCCCAGTTTGCGTTGTGCCAGTTTTTTGTTTTGCCTCCAATCGTCACGGGTCGCCGGTTCACCAGGGTCATCAGTTCACCTACCAACGAGCTGCTGCCGCCCCCCCCCCCAATTTCTATTAATTTTTTTTGGATATACAATCCTTATTATATACTTGATTAGACCGGGTATTTGTTGCTTCTCCCTTTTTTCCCTTTCCTCCCTTTTATTCTCTCTATACTACTTATTCTACTCTTCGTTCTTTCTCTTCTGCGGCTTTCCTGTCATCTTTTTTTCTGTGTGCCCTCTTGTAACACACTGGCGCCCAAGGCAAAGAGAGTTGATAGACCCATCACCCCGCAACGACGAAGGAGCTAGCCTGGCCGTGAGAAAGACGTCACACAAGAAGATGGCGCTCACCAACGTGGGGCTTTGATTCGAGGCTTTAGGGTGTAAAACTTTGATGCGAGTGGTGGATTTTGTTGAGTTGTCGGGATCTTTTCTTTTTTTCTTTCCTTTCTATTTCTTTTTCTACGCTCTATTCTGTCCGGGAAGCAACAATAATTAGTATCTTATTAGATCTAGATCGTGCGCATTTTTAAGAGGTCTTGTATCGTAGGGTTACATAATGGCCAGTGTAAGCTCCATTTATGATACGGAACCGAACTTTCTGAAGGTCAACGAAATCGACTACGAGTTGAGGATACGAGGAGTGGCTCGAACAGACCGTGTCGACGTGGACACAAAAAGGAAGAATTTGAGGAAAAGGCTACGGGAAGATCAGGCACGGCTCAATATTGTGTACACTACGCCGCAGTTTGTGTTTCAAGATGAAAAGAGGGAAGTTGACGCCACGATAGCGGAGATACGAGAGTTGTTGAGGCAATTTGACGGATCTCGGGTAGAAGCAAACAGGAGGTTACAGACCAGGATCAACCACGTGTTGGGAAGAGTAAGTAGATTTTGTGCAGACCCCGCCAGCGATGAAGGTGAAGAGTCCGCAGCATATAAATTGGACAATACGTTGATCATTGCAGCATTCGATGAAACACGTTTAGAGATATTGGACCAAGCCAACTTACCGAGAGGTTCAGGTAACGCAGATCTACAAGGAGCTATGCACAAAATAGCACCAGTGTACAAATGGGGAATTACGTTCGATGGCAAATCAGTGAGTTCGTTTCTGCAGCGAATTGATGAACTTAGAAGGGCGAGAAGTACATCAAAAGAAGAATTATTCCGATCTGCCGTAGATTTATTCCAAGGTCAAGCGCTAATATGGTACCGTTCAATCAGAGATTCAGTGCACAGTTGGGATTCGTTAGTACAGGCTTTGAAGCGAGATTTTTTACCACCCGATTACAACGAAGAATTGTGGAGAGAGATTCGTAGCAGGACACAAGGTAACAGCGAACGTGTTACTATTTACATAGCTGCAATGGCGAATTTATTTAGTCGTCTCTCACAACCGCCGTCAGAAGAAATTAGATTAAGCACCATAAAGAAAAACTTGCTGCCCAAGTTCCAGACGAGTATAGCTTTGCAAGAGATAAGATCCATTGAACAGTTAGCCGATGTGTGCAGGACGTTGGAAGCCGCCTTTACGACACAACAACGATTCCAACCCCCACCAAGGAGAAGTGTAGCGTTGCTAGAACCAGATTTGGCCTACTCTGAGACGTTAGTAGAGACAGAGGCGCATTTGTCTAAATCGAGGCAGTCACGGTCACATTGTGCCCGACCGGAAGTTAGTGAACTGCGATGTTATAATTGCAATCGTGCTGGTCATTTGAAGCGAGATTGTCGTGAAGCCAAGAAGGAACCAGTGTGCTTTGGATGTGGACGACGAGGCGTTATCCGCCCTAACTGCCCGAAGTGTTAAAAAAACTAGCAAACAGGCAACACGCATCCAAGAGCCCACGCGAGTTGTCTGGTGTATATCAAAAGGCTCAGAAAAAATGTGGCATCGCACCACACGAGTGGAGAGAGTGGTTGGCGAAGGTGAAGAGTTTTTGTGGTTCTTTAGCAAGATGTCCAAAAAGGTGTATAAAAAAGGCATCGTTTAAGCAGGTTAGTAACTCCGAATGCTCTGGAATAGTAACAAATCCGTTAGATGCTATGTTTGAGGTAGACAAAAAATGTGATAGTCGGCCCCATTTGAAAATTGAAGCGTATGGACATTCATTGGTGGCATTAGTAGATAGCGGAGCGTCAATTTCGGTAATAGGGGAAAACGGTCTATATCTGATAGAATTTTTTAATCTACATGTGTACGAATCAGGAACGGAAGGCGTGAATACTGCAGAAGGACGTATGCAGAAAATTACGGGGTACGTTCAGTTACCTATATCGGTAGATGGAACGTGCAAGGTCATGAAGTTTTGGGTGGTACCGACCATCCGCCATTTTGTAATCTTGGGTAACGATTTTTGTGAGAAATTTGGAACGGTAATAGATTGGAATCAGAAAACCATTGTTGTGAATGATAAACGTGAGGGATGCGAGGTAGGTGAAACAACCAACGAGGCAGTGATGACTGTCAACAAAATTATTTGTAGGGGAGAGTTGAATAGCGACCAAGAACAAAACTTGAGAGAGGTTATTGGGAAATTTAAGTCTCTTTCGTGGGAAGCAGGAACCAAGTTGGGTAGAACCAACAAAATAATTCAGAAGATTGACACCGGTGAAGCAGAACCAATTAAGCAGAGATATAACAACATGTCTCCATATATGTTGCAACATTTGAACGGCGAGTTAGACAAAATGTTAGAATTAGGGGTAGTACAGCCATCCTCATCCCCGTGGGCATCACCAGTAGTGTTGATAAAGAAATCCTCAGGTGAGTATAGATTTTGCTTTGACGGACGTAAGCTTAACTCAGTCACGAAGCGCGACGCTTATCCGTTGCCGCACATTGATAGTATTTTGAGCAAATTAACGGGAGCTCAGTTTCTGAGTAGCATAGATCTTAAAGCTGCGTTCTGGCAGATTCCCTTAGATGCCAACTCTAAAGAAAAGACTGCTTTTGTGATACCATCTAGAGGTCTATATGAATTTAATGTACTGCCGTTTGGGTTGAATAATGCAGCGCAAACTCAACAACGCCTTATGGATACGATTTTTGGACCCTCTTTAGAACCATTTGTCTTTGTGTATCTAGATGACTTACTGATAGCGACACCCACTTTTGAGAAGCACGTAGCAGTGTTACAACAAGTATATGGAAAACTGCATGACGCCAATCTTACAATTAACTTTAACAAATGTGAATTTTGTAGAGCGAGTCTGCGTTATTTAGGGTTCGTAATTGACAGACAGGGGTTGCGAACGGATCCTGAGAAAGTGAGAGCTATGGTGGAATATCCACGGCCCAACACGCGAACAGAAGTGAAACGTTTCTTAGGAGTTGCGGGTTGGTATAGGAGATTTGTTCCTAATTTTGCGGTGATGAGTGCACCTATAACTCAGCTCATTAAAGGGCAAAAGAAAGGTCAGGCGATTACTTGGACGACCGAAGCTGAGGAAAGTTTTGTGAAGATCAAGGAGGCGCTAGTATCAGCACCTGTGCTTGCCAGTCCTGATTTTACTAAATTATTTTCAATCCAATGCGACGCATCAGATAGAGGTTTAGGATGTGTGCTTGTGCAGGCGAATGAAGAAGGCAAGGAGACTCCGGTAGCTTACGCTAGCCGAACACTGACAGACCAAGAAAGAAAATACACAGTTACTGAGAAAGAATGTTTAGGTGTATTGTTTGGTGTTGAGAAGTTCAGGCCGTATGTGGAAGGTACACAGTTTAAAATTATAACTGACCATTACAGCTTGTTGTGGCTCAATCAATTGAAAAATCCAACAGGTAGATTAGCACGTTGGGCCATGAAGCTACAGCAATACGACTGTGAGATCGAACATAGAAAGGGAGCGTTGAATGTAGTCCCAGACGCACTGTCGAGAGTGCCACACGAGGTAGCGATATTGACTATGGTCAAGGGTGAGAGCATGAAAGATCCGGAATACAGACGTCGATTTGAAAGAGTCAGCAAATTTCCAGATGGTAATGCAGTGTGGAAGATACAAGATGACTCCCACCTGTTTAGGTGTTTGAAGAGCCAAAATGGCAGTCCAGAGTGGAAATTATATGTAGCAGAGACCTACCGAACAGAGGTCATGAAATCATGTCATGACGAACCAATTGCTGCGCACCTAGGCATGTTCAAAACTTTGAAAAGAGTGCAAGAGCTTTATTATTGGCCGCGCATGCGTAAGGACGTACAACGTTATGTAAGAAGCTGTGAAGTGTGCAAGGCGCAGAAGCCACTCAATTTGGCGCCACCAGGATTGATGGGGAAGTCCCGTAAGGTCTCTTACCCATGGCAGATGATTGCTTTGGACCTGATAGGACCACTTCCAAGATCGTCTAAAGGTAATAGATTTTTGCTTGTGGTATCAGACTGGTTCACAAAGTTTTGTTTATTGAAGCCGCTGCGACAGGCGACTAGTAGCAGCATTACCACCTATTTGAGAGAGAATGTCTTCTATATCTTTGGCGCACCGCAAGTAATAGTGTGCGATAATGGGAAGCAGTTGACGAGCAACATGTTTAGAGGATTGGCCAAGGAGTTTGGAAGCCAATTATGGTTTAATTGTAAGTACCATCCTCAAGTGAATCCTGTGGAAAGGGTAAACAAAGTAGTAGGAGCTGCGATACGCTCATACATAAAAGATAAGCGACATGACAAGTGGGATTCTAACATCCACGAGATTGGCTACGCGTTGAGAACAGCCGTCCACGAATCGACAGGATACACTCCCGTTTTTTTGAATTTCGGCCGTTTTGTACCAGTACACGGGTTACTGTACGGTAAGGACGAGAACCTACACCAGTTCGATCTTCAACCCACTTTCAGGGATATTTATGCGGAAAGTATGGATCGTTTATTGCCATTGTACAACGAGGTAAAGAGGAAACTTGATAAGGCGTATCACAGAAATTGTCATTATTATAATCTAAGGAGACGCGAGGCACCTTTGTATGCCGTTGGTGATACGGTGTGGAAGAAAAATTACGTTTTGTCAGATGCTTCTAAAAGATATGCCGCTAAATTGGAACCGAAATTCGTGAAGTGCAAGATTGCAGAAGTCCTTTCACCTCTAGTGTACCGATTAACGACAGAGAATGGTGTGGATCTTGGGAGATACCATACCAAGGATCTGAAACCTGATCAGACAAGAAACTCGGATTAGACGCTGTGAGGAAGGTGAGGAGTGCATGAAGAAGAACGATAGATCTCGTGAATGGAGTGTGAACGGTTAGGGTGTTTGTTTGTGTAGAGAATAGATTTCGATTTTGACTTTTTCTAGGCACTAGTGTCGAGGTTGGCAGATTTGTCAGATTTGTATAATAGGCAGAATTTGAATGAAAATTTAGCCATTTATACCCAGAGTAGACAGAATAATAGATTGACAGGTTGTGACGTAGCTATTATACCGGATTTAGACATATGAAAATTGACTATGTGATGGACTACAGTTTGGCCATTAGTCTGAAATGTCGGACCATCCAATAAGGAGAATAGTTGGATGAGTGGTCCAAGTCCTATAGGGAAACTCGAAATAAGTTTAGTTATTATGTAGGTAGGGTAGGTTTAGGAAAAAATTAATACTCCTCGTAATTATTTTAATTCCAGTTATTATTAATTTTTTTGGGTAACTAACGGGGATGTGTAACGTGACATTTACGCGGCGGCGCAGCTCTGCGGGAGCGAAGGCGAAAAAAAAAAAAAAGAAAAAGAGAGGCGAGCGTTGGGTGAAGGCGATGAGGGCCGGTGTCGAGGCTTTGGGGAAGAGGGACCGTGTTTGGAAGACGAGAAAAGGGCTGAGGCGAGAACATCAAAGGCCAACGGAGTCCAGGAGAGGCACAGGAGTCGAAGCTGACCTCAACAGGACCGCGGCGACGGGAACGGGCGTTCTGCGTATTGGTACCAATACGGTAAGTCGCCGGGAAGTGCGCGCCGATCGTCCGGGAGAAACCGGGAGCGTCCCAGTTTGCGTTGTGCCAGTTTTTTGTTTTGCCTCCAATCGTCACGGGTCGCCGGTTCACCAGGGTCATCAGTTCACCTACCAACGAGCTGCTGCCGCCCCCCCCAATTTCTATTAATTTTTTTGTATATACAATCCTTATTATATACGTGATTAGACCGGGTATTTGTTGCTTCTCCCTTTTTTCCCTTTCCTCCCTTTCCTCCCTTTTATTCTCTCTATACTACTTATTCTACTCTTCGTTCTTTCTCTTCTTCGGCTTTCCTGTCATTTTTTTCTGTGTGCCCTCTTGTGACACACTGGCGCCCAAGGCAAAGACAGTTGATAGACCCATCACCCCGCAACGACGAAGGAGCTAGCCTGGCCGTGAGAAAGACGTCACAAACAACACCAATAAAGTGCGGCAGTTTTTTGAAAGACGTCTTGCACCTTTATTTTCAATTGTAATACTTTATCTTACAAACAAGTTTGTAACACATTTTTATTAGTTCTTTTGTAAATCCACTTCTGCTAATACCACTTGCCATATTTCTGACGTTCAGTTAAAATTGTGTCGTGGTGTAAGTTTGGTGTTCACTTGGGAAATACTCTTAAACATCGTGATACCTAAAGAGAAAACCTCTAACACGGTTAAGATTAACCACTGGCTCAAATCCATGGATGATGCCAATATATATTAAATTGCCAACGATGCCAGCGGATTATTCTGTAAAGCATGTGGCAAAGTGGTAAGCATGTAATTACGATTTTCATCAATTTGTTGTTATTTAAGTAACATATATTTTAATTTTAATGTTGAATATTCAAGTTTAAGTGTGAAAAGATGTTTCATTTGGAACAGCATGAACAAGGAGACATTCACAAAAAGAATGTAAAGAACCCATTACGTCAAAGTTTACGTCAATTACATCAATTAATATAGAAAGATCTTTTTCATGTTTAAAAAATATTTTTGCAGATAATCGCACATCAATGACATGTGAAAATTTAGCGCGATATATAGTTTGTCATGCGAATGCCCGCTTGAATGAATTATTTACATATTATAGTATTACGAGTATATTCAAAACTTTAAATAGTTAAATATATGTATTATGTTAATTAATATTGTGAATAACTGTTAAACAATATAAAGAATAAAAAAAAATGTTTTAGTTACTTTGAAATTTTGAAGATTTCAGATTTGTATCAACGTATTTGAACCTATTTCAACATTTTTATAACCTAATCTGAAGTTTTTTAAAGCCTATTTTAAGCGCCTTTTTCGTCATTTTTTGTGACCTAAAATCCGGGCCCTACTAATAACATTATTTCAATGTGGTGTAGGAAAAAGACCCGACAGGTTGCACCTTCCGAGCACATTCATCTCGGAAATCTGACTCACCACACGCCAGGCAGTACCACAGATGACGATGATGATGGTCATCCAGTACCACAGCCTACACCTGCTTCTGCCTTGAGGGCTTCACACGAACTTTCGCCTAAATGTAAATGCCGAAATTCTTACTAAGGGGGGAGGTGATAAGAACCCCTATTCTTATGTAATTAATCAATTAATTAATAATATAATATTTTATTCCAAATCTGTAGACTCATGTAGGCAACTTGGTTTGATTTATCTATTATTATTTATGCAGTCAATGAATAATTGTATCACTCTGTTACTTTCTTTGTTATAATTTTGATTTATAAAGGAGCTGTGCTATTGCAATCATTAAGAATATAGTCAAGTCTTGTTGCTCTATCGACTACACTGTGTAAAACATCGTAATTGTCTTCAGTTTATTAAAACCTGTTAGTAGTGTTTGTGTTGCGTTTCATTTCGAAAAATTGGTCTAAAGAGTTTAGACAGTACGTCCCTCGCTGACGACTGCATGCCTATTATTTTTTTTGCAGTAGATTTCTAAGCATTCGGTTTTGTAGTTCCTGAGTAAATAAATAAAATAAATTTACGCATTCATTTTTTTTTTGAGTCACCCGGTATATGCAAATTCAAAAAATATGAATGGGATGATAAATTACAAGTACAGATTCATCATATGTTATACATTCTACATAGGATTTATTCGGCAAACTTTTGTGCCGACGTCATCAGTTTTTTGGAGAAGATAACCAAATATATTTTGACTAAAAATTTATAATGGTCTTTAAAACCTCAAAACATCTGCAAAATTTCAAAACATTCGGTTCTGTAGTTCCTGATTAAATCAATGAGATACATTTACGCATTCATTATTTTTTTTGGGTCACCCTGTATATGCAAATAAAAAAAATATGAATGGAATGATATATCACAAGCACCCCAAGCAGCAGACTATCGTCTAATTCACGTCAATTATTGGTGATAACCACTACGCGGGATTCTATCTCACCGGTGCAATTCCCCAGTTGAAGTAAGGTGTGTTTTACGGCGAGTAGCGGGAACGCTTTGATCTGGTCCACAAGGTCGTAGCCAGTGCGTCGCTAGAAGTGTTTACAGCTTGTTAAAAAACTACTTCTATATTACTATATTACTTCAAATAATAATACTCGATGCCCTTTTTAATTTTTCACCCACAGGACCACAGATTGCTGATCTTGAAATGTTATATTATGTTGATATAGTCCAAAAGAAAAGTATATTTGTAATCAAACTCTCGCCGCGACAGCACTGGATCTAGCGTATGAGATACAATTCCGCGCGTTGGTGATAACTCGTCGGCGAAGTCATTCGCCCAAAAAATCACGTGATAATGACGAGATTTTTATGACTTACTTCTGACGTCAATTAAAGATGTCAAAAGGCCGTCTTTTCTTCGTCATTTTTTATAGATTATATGATCAATTAGATGTGGGCCGTCGTATTCTTTAAAAAGTGGCCATCATAATGCTTAATTATATTTAGAGCAAAAAATACAACGGCTTTATTAGAAATACACCAGAGACAAGTTTTTTCATTCTAATAATTTCTAATAAAATAATTATTTCTGAAAACTTGTTTACTTTGGAAGTGTAATTTTGTAAGTACCTGCTTGGCAAATTATAAATAGAACATCCGGGGTTGAGCGTATAATAGTGAAAAGACCCAACGACACAAACAAAGTCATAAAACTTCTTTGTCCATTGTCCCTAAAACGGGACAAGGTTTTGAAGAATTCCTTCGTCAAACTTCGATTTTATAACGACGTTTATAAAGTGATGATGGTTACCAAAAAAAATTAAAGAGTGATTAATATTTAGTTTTATTAAATTTATTTCAACTTTCAACTAATGAAAAAATAATGCTCAACTTCCATATTTACTATACAATACATCAGATGTTTGGGGTGTGTATTCGGACTTTCGCTTTTTTTCGGTATTTATGTTTATTGCACTTCACAGTGAAGCATTCCAACATTTCCAGTTGGTTCTTAACGACCGAAACTTTCTCGTGTATCCGTTACTCACTTCATTTTTAACGCAGTTTTGTGAAAATTTCTGCCATTCAGTGTGGGTTGTACTTTATTTGCACTAGGTAAGTTAATATCTAATAAAGTAATCATTTTAATTTTTACGTGTTTCTGTTATTTTTGATAACTGTACGTAGATAACAAAAGCAGTTTTTTCAGATAAGCTGGAAAGACCACCATCAATCACTGAAGATACTCCCACTGATTATGAAGAACTTACGGTGATTGTTTTTGAAAATGAGGCTCCATAAAATATTGCAAAGATATGTTACTGCAATTTTTTATGAACTAACGCTAATGAACAAAATTTTATTCTAGATTTGAAACAAATACAAAACACATGTGCGAAACGAAAGAAATGCTAAAGGAAACGAGTGAAAAAATCTCCAACATGGAACCGTCATCAAATCTGACAACTGAAAAAGAAAACAAAAATAAAAGTTATGCCGCCAAGACAACACCTAAACAAATTTTGACGAATTACAACATTATCTTTGCCTATTAGAACAAGCAGATTTCTTTATAAGTTAAAAAAATTGGTCTAAAGAGTTTAGACACTACATCCCTCGCTGTCGGAAACTTGACGACTGCATGCCTATTGTGTTTTTTTCTCATTACATTTTTGTAGTGGGAATTTAAAAAAAAATTGCGATGACGTCATCAACATTTTTGCAAGGACAAGTAGATAGGGATAGATGTAGTGTAATACTAAGAATAAAATTATTGTATTCCCAAATTTTCGGGAAAATGAATTGGGTCGTTTTTAATATTGATTTGTTATAATCAATAAAATGACGAAACAATTTACTCACGTATACGGCGCCGGTGTGTAATATGAGAGGCAACTGAAAATCGTTTATGTATAAACATTCTTAATTTAAGATGACAAGGGTAACAGCATACGTGAGAGTCAAA